ATATTACACGACTGTGGAAAGATGCAAGATAATGAAGGGGAGGTAGGGACTTTTCGACAGCTTTTTATACTTTGCAGCGGCGGGCCCCCATGCCACTTTCGACAGAGGTTCTGCCTCAGCCCAAACTGTACATTTTGGCGCCGGCGGGTTTTTGATGGTCTACGGTATAGGTGAGGCTGGGGTGCTCAGTCTTGCGGCCGGCTGCCCCAAAATTCTCCAGCCAGACCGCACGTAGAACGTTAAGCTTATGCTTAAATTGTGAATACTTTAGTGCGGCAGGGGTCACCTCAGCCCCGCGGCGCGGGAAAAGGACGTACAGACTTGCATAACCCCCCACGTCCGCAGGGGCTCTGGGAGTGCAAAGTGTGGTCACCTGCACCTGTTCTTCCCGCCCTACGCTGAGAGTCCGAGCAGCGGCAAGAAATCGGATGAGATGTGAACAACAGTCACAAGTGTCAACGTGCTCGCTCAGTTATGTAAGTTACCCATACGGCGTCTCACTTGTGGGACACAGTGCGAGTCACTCCGCCGTCGCATTAGTTTTGGCAACCCTGTTCCTCCCGCAGGAAGGGGGGGGGAGGGGAAGGGCGCAACGCGTCGCTTTGCGACGCGTACTATACTTTTGCTTCTCGGCATCTGCGTTGGCATACGAGAAAACAAGCGCGGTATATACGTATATAACAAAGGTGTCCACTCATAACTAAAACGACATAAAGAGGGGCACATGAAAGCACTGACTAGGTAAAACAGAGCTATGAGGCACCGGGGCGGCTTTCTGCCAAAATACGGAGAAGCGCAGCACAGCCAGGCATCATCCGCGATGACGCGGAGGCGATACATCCGCCTGCAGCACCGCTGCCATCTGCACTACATTCTCATCTGAATCTGACGAGAACGGCGACGTCGGCATATACTGCCCCGTGGGGGTCGTAGGCGCAGACGTAGAGCTGCCGCCACCACCACCGCCGCCAACGGCAAACAGACTCATGCGCTGGAACCAGCTCGCGGGCGACGATGGGTAATATCCGCCATCACTGTCCCCTCCGCTCGTGCTATCAATCATGAGCGGCGACGCTGGGCTCGATAGCCCGTGCTCCGACGCAGACGACGACGCCGCCGCTGGTTTGAAGAAACTCAGCGATGAGAGCGATGGTCGCTTGCGCATAAGCTCGGGCACCGCTGAGCGCAAATTTTCAAACGCGCCGGCGGCAGCTGCAGCAGCTGACGCCGAGGACGTCGTAAAAGACGACGGCAGTTGAGTTGGGAAAGTATTGTGCTGCCGTTTGGCCGCTGGAACAGTCCGCTGCGATGCAGGTGAATATTCGCCGCTCTCGTCATCTGATTCTGGGTCGTTGACAAGCATCCGCTCGAGATATGAGTCACCTCGTGCGAGGCGCGCCGTGATTTTGTTGAAATAGAGATTTAGGCCCTTGACTTCGCTTTGGAGCTCTAGCACACAAAAAGATGGCGCAGAGTGAGCAAAACTTCCTCCTTATTACACGCTAGCTCTTTGTACATACCTGAGATGATGCTTTGGTACTCCTTTCTCTCGCTCTCAAAGTTCTCAGACGACCGCCGTGCGACCTCCGTGCTGGCACTCCTACTCGTATCGAGCGACGCGACTGCCGAGTCCTGCATTTCATCTCGCCCAAAGGACGTGGTCGCGGTCGCATCGGTACTGGCGCCTCGCACTTCATCAGTAGATCTCATGGTGTGATACGCTGCCGCGTCTTCTACTAGCGATCGGTTGACCGTTTTCAGCGCCTGATTTTCCGCCCGCAGCTCCTCAATGCTCTCCTGTCGTTGTTCCATCCTGTTCATGAGATCTTCGTGGCTCTTTCTAAGCTGCATCCGGGAAAGAGGATCAAGGTAAGTTACCGACTCTCCGATCCCATTCGTGATGATTCTTTACCTGCTCAATCTCGTGCTTTAACAAGGACACCTGCCTGTCTTTGGCATTAAGTTGTATCAGCAGCTCGGCAGAATCCATGTCCTCGGCGGCTTGAGACATGAGTAACTCGAGCTGCGCCTCGATGGATGCTTGCCGCGATAGACGCGGTGGTGGTATGCTTGGCATACCTTCGACGCGCGCAGGTGCCGTTGAGATCTCGACCGCCGATTCCACAGCGTGCAGATGGTCACTCCCGTCTTGCTGGTCATACGTTGCAACAGCCTCTACTACCTCACCGCTCGCGGCATCCCGAGTCGACGATCCCGCGTCGCTCAAAGTCACTGCGTCCTCCAAGGGAAGCTGCTTGTCTGCATTCTCCGCCTCGCCAATAGTCGCTTCCACAGTTTTAGTAGTATCGCTCTTAGCATCCATGTTACCATCCACAGGCTCGTCGCGCATCTCGTCAGGCTGCGCAGCTTCCACCTCGCCATCGTCCGCGGGCGAGGGAGAACTAGCAGCAGCCAGGGCATCGTTGTCGTGGTCGTTCCGAGCTTCCGCAGCAAGCGCTACAGGCGGCTGAGAAGCGTCATGGTGGTCACCGGCCGGGCCATTCACACCCGTGTTTTCAAGTGCCGGCAGGCTGTTCTCTACAACGTGTGGTGATGCCACGCCTGGACTATCTGCCTCTGCATCTGTGACTTTAGCGGGTTGCGCTTTAATTAAGGTTTTGGATAAAAACTGGACATATGGGAACGGAAACGGAAAGCGCCTACGTGTAAGAAAAGACGCGCGAGGGACGAAAGACCGGCCAAAGCACAAGCTGCCTTCATTGTGGAGGCCCAGCGTTATATGGACGTAACATGCCAGGCCAGGCTCAAAGGACCGCGATGGTCTGCAGTCAATTCTCTGACTTTTGTTCTCACCTTTTTGAACCGCATGTCCTGTTGGTCGTTGTCCCTGTCGTCTGAGAGTATGTGGAGGCTCGAAAGACCATCCTCCACGCTGACATGATCGTTGCCCAGCATCTCGGCAGCCAGAAGGGGCGGGGCAGTGCGGGCTGGAGGGTCCTGTTACGGCAAGGCGTTGTGGAGAGCCAGAGGAGAGCCTCGGGAGCGCGTTCCCTCGAAGAAGTCGCCCATCTTTCTTCGTGGGCAGCGTGCAACACTCAACCACGACAACACGGCAAAAGAAACCCAAAAGAACCCGCGTGCTTAGAGAGGTCGTTTTTCCTTTCCACTCTGCCCTACTGCGAGGTGCACCTTTCTCTTGGTTTTGGGCGTGATTTCCGTGCGCAGCGCCCCTTCAGTGGCTGTGTCCTTCATTCTCCGCCCATGACTTGTTTTCTCGCTTCGTTCTATCCCTGTCGCTCTCTTGCTCTGCATATTGTTCTGCCTGGAGGGATGCCGCGAGAAAGAAAGGGGATGCAGGTCTTTGCTACAACTGCACAATGGGGTGCCCGCAGCAGATCACACGGTTCTTAGATCCCGACCGCGCTTGACCAGCACTCAACACCAAGAACGGCTTGCTTTTGTGATTCACCTCTATGAGAAGGTGGGTGCTTTGACGAAAGCAGCATACACCACAAGTGATGCGGAGGCGCTGCTGGAGGCGTCGCTGCTTGTACGTGTACGGCCGCGCACAAGTGAGTCCCCACCCTCATTGCAGGAGTGCAGCATGGCTTTGCAGCCTCACCGTCCATTGATGCTGGTGGTGTGTGAACAACCGGAGCGGCATGGCGACACACACGACACCCGCCTTGTCCGTGGCTGCGGATAAGCCGCTTTGTGTAAGTCCAAGGGCTGGTTTTTTTTTTTGGGGGGGATGGATTCCGAGGAAAGCGACTTTTTTTCTTTTTTGTTCCATATCGGGCGCGCTCGCCGAGACTTTCCGATATGGGTCTCAGCCGCGCGGAGGCCCAAATCGCAATTTCACAAAACCGACAACAAAAAAAAAGAAGCAATGTATGGAAAACGGCTGCGGGCGGCGATAACCGCAATCTGGCCGGGCGATTCCGCCAGATTTCCTTGCTGAGCGAAGAAAAGGTGAACCATATAAAAGGAACAGGGAAAGGCCCCGACCTCTTGCGCTTCACTCTCACTCGCCCTATCATCACCAACGCACCAACTCCCAAGAATGTCTGCCGAATTCGCGTTCTTTCTCGTTGCCTCGCTCGCGGGCTTTGTTCTCAAATCGCGCACTGCCGATGATGAGGAGGAGTTTGATTCGCCTCTAGCATCATCATCCGCCGACTCGACGTCCTCCTCCTCATCCTCCTCCTACTTTGCCTCGCCGCTGCCCAAGCCGTCTGACTTTCCCGCGTCCGCGCACTCGCCAACGCTGTCGATCCTCCGCGCGCGACAAGAGTGGACCCACATGGAAGGATGCGCGCTTACCGGATACTAAAGCGAACGAGAACGAGTCGCGCGCCGCCCGACTCGGCGTCCCTCCCGAGCGAGCGGTGTAAACCACCCAGTCTTCCTGTCTATGGCGCCGGCCTTACGATCCCAATCCTCTGAGATTGTTGTATACTTTCCGTCCCAAGTTTGTTTTGTTTGTCCTCTCCCCGCGTCCGGCTGTGCCGCCTCGCTCTTTTTTTGATACCCCTTTCCTCAACCCCAACCTTTCTTCTGTACATATTGCGCTCTTTGACTTTACAATGAAAAATCCCCACTGTGCACTCGTCTCTTTTGCCCCTTCGCTATTGATTGTCAATGCGAAACCCCTAAACGCGAGGCAGACGGATGTCTCTTCTACTGAACTTGCTCTGGGGCAAGCGGGCAACGGTTCCACTAAGAGTCATCGATGCCATCCAGCCAAACCAGAAGCCGCGACACCCCTGAAGTGACGGCAGGCGCTGCTCTACATGGCGCACGCCAGGTGCGAACATGACTTTCAAAGAAGGCGGGTCTGCGGAGGCTCAAACCGAGGAAGGGGGGGTGCGGGGGGCGAAGCCCCCCGTTCAAAGAAAACCATTGGGTACCGAGGCAGGCAATTTGTCGCGTTTCTTGGATCGCCTTGAATTCCGTAGCCAGAAAATTGAGAGTGCCAAAGACCGGCGAGCTACAGTGTCTGTCACCCTCGTGGCGGGAAAAAAGTCAAAACATAATCTCGATCCTACCAGGATTCGAACCTGGAGTCTCTCGCTTCGTAGGCGAGCGCCTTAACCATTGGGCCATAGGACCGCTTTTGATCCAGAATCTGCTGTTTGCAGCTCGAGCGTGCGCCTTCGCTTGAATCAGAATCAGAATCGGCTGTTTATGTAGCGAGCGCGCGCCTTTGAACCATTAAGCTATAGAGCTGACCAGATTTGATGTCAGAGACTTGGCTGTCAAGTTGTGCGGTGGCTCTTAACTTATTGGGCCATAGGACCGTTTTTGATTCAGAATCTGCTGTTGGCAATTCGAGCGTGCGCCTTTGTTTACTTCAAAGCGTGCGCCGTTAGTTGATTCGGGACCTGCTGTTTGCAACTCGAGCGTGCGCCTTTGTTTAATTCAAAGCGTGCGCCTATACTTGATTCAGAATCTACTGTTTGCGACTCGAGCGTGCGCGTTTAAACCTTTGAGGGCAATGAGCTGAGCAGATTTGATGTGAGAGACTCGGCTGTCAAGTTGTGCGGTCGCCGACCAGCTGTCTGTGTAGTAAGTGTGCGTTGTTAAACAATTGAGACATGACAGTCTTAGGTCAAATTAGGAGACTTCTGCCACCCGAGAAAGCGGCGGCGGCACCGAAGGGGCCCGCTTGAGTAAGAGCTCGTATCAGAGCACTCCTTTCCTTCTTAACTCTCTTTTCGTTGCGAATGCGGCTCTTTGACTCAAATTTGTCCCACGCGACGAGTCAACTTGCGGCGGTATAGTTCTTGGACCAGAGTCAGAATTCATATATTTAACCAGCTACTATCGTGAATGAACACTTAGCATCAACGGGCTTGCCGGCCATCCGGGACAAACAGAGCGTGGAGGGCGCTGCCGAGATGGACAGGTTTCGCTGTTACCACAATTTTGGCGCCCACGCAGGATGTCCGACCGCTTCGTGGGATCTGACAGGTCGGTCCTCGGGATACGCGGGAATGTCAACGGCCCGGAAAAGAGATTTGCTGTGTCTGATTAACAGCAAGACAAGCAAGCGACTAGTCACAGCCTACAAGTTATGAACATTTCCTAAAAATCACTTGAAAGGTGGTAGCTTTCTTTGCTTTCCCATCAGCATCAAGACCGTCTCAACAGTATGCTCCTGCTTCGCTTGGAGCACGGCCATCGTAGTTGCCGCGGTAGCTGCTAACGAAGCTGTGGTTGCGGCCCCGCGGCTCGCCTTGCCGTCTCGGCGTCGCCCGGCGTGCCTTTCATCTCTCGCCGAAGCTCCACTCTGTACGATGGGGACAAGCCCTTTCGATTTGCCACCTTCAGTATCCTGTTGCTCTTTGTCAGCAGCGATTTGCCGCACAACTTGCACACCCCTTATGTGCAGTGGGACCTTTTGCGCTCCATCTAGTTTTTTGAAAGGCGCTGCTGCCGTCCGCCATAAAACTTGCCATGAAACTTGGCGGGATTCAATTTACCAAATCCCTACACAGGCTGCAAACACCACGGCTGTTGCTAGGGCCTACGGTCTCACCATCGGATCCATGGTCGCTGGTGCCCACTACCAAGACTACTACCACATGTACGAAATCTGCAAATACTCTGAGAGAGTCTGGACCGCCGCTGACACTGCAGTCGCTCTACTCGTGGAGCATGGAGCAAGAGTCATCGCTCCGCTTATCGCTTGGTGGAAGGGGCGTAGGCGCGGACGGTGCCGCGGCGCGAAAAAAACATGTCCCTTGCATATGTCCCTCTGCCCAGACCCCCCCTCATCGCCCTCGTTTCTTTTTGCTTTTCAGATGACCCTACCATTATGATCAGGAGCTCGGACAGGAGCTTGGAGATTGGAACGGAATGGTCCCACCTGACTGGACGTTAGACATTGCTCAGTTCATCATCAAAGAAAACGCGCCATTCTCACAACAGCCCTGGGCGTACAAGCATACCCGCAAGCTCGATGTCATGGCCGCGTCTGCGATTATCTCCTCGCCTTATATCGACGGCTTTAGCGACCACTTTTAAGATTCCAGGGAGAGCGCTGAGGTGGGAAAGACCTTGAGCAGCGTCCATCAGCGTGGGCTAAAAAGTTTGTATCGATTACAGAGCCTCAATGACTAAAACGATAGGGCGGCTCACGCAGTCAAGTACGTTGTGCAGGATCACCCAAAGGAGTTCTACATCGGTAAGGCTTAATTTGAAGGAGAAGTGGATATTGCTCCAATTTTCGTATCTTGCTCAACCTTTTTTTTGCAGGTGCGTTCGGTTGCGAAAACGGCACAATATTCAAAAATGTGGGGCCCGCTTACTCTGACCCCTCATAGCGGCGCTTGGAGCCTTCGCAGCCATAGCCGATATGATGGCTTCTACTGCCATAAACAACGGTTCCCTTACTTCGCGTACCACCTCCCCGGCTTCCACATTAACAGCAGCGGTTCGAAGTCTCACGATCTGCGCGACAACAAGGACGAAGTATACATTATCAGCAGCGGTTCAAGGTCTCACGATCTGCGCGACAACAAGGACGCGAAGTCGAGACTGTTGAGCTCCTCCGCATGGCGTAAGCCCAGCTGGGTGGATCCGTCGCGCCCGTTCCTTATCCCATCCCCGACGCTCCAAAAGTTTTACTCATGAACTATTGCACCCTGTATCCCAGCCCGCAGCCGCTTGATTTCATTTCGGGGCTGCGCGCCGGATTCGAGTGGGTTGGGCAGCTGGGCGGCCACTGCTGCCAGCACTGCCGGTCGCAATTCGAAATGGTCACAGACTCCCTGCAAGTTGGCTTTCATCGCGTCGTGATGCCGCTTCGCAGAAGCTGCGATGTTCCCAACCGCTGCCCGAGTCATAGTCACCCGCCCTTGCCACCGCTCGCGTTTGTTGGGATCCGGCCTCCGCAATTGCACGATCCTGGCTTCATGCGACCATCAATGATAAGGTTGGATGAGTGATTAATCGTCGCACAATTCCAGCATCGCGCCGGCGGCCCGTTTTCGCAGTTGAAAAGACATCTATCCCGGTCATAGAAGCGAACTAGTATGCAGCAAAGACAGGAGAAGGAGTCCACGACGCAAGGCAAGGCAAAGATCCGTTGGAACGGGGCCACTTTCCGTACCGGCGGTGCCCTAAAGCCGCAAACGTTGTATCGCCTGAATCACATCAGCTCATTGATGCTTTTAAGGAACCCAGCGGTTCGACAGTTCGAGACTCGGCAAGAAAGGCTTTCGCAGGTCGAACGGGAAGGGTAACGCTCTTTGTACGAGACGTTCGCTTTGCTTTCTTTTGGTGGGAAATCCTTCCGTAAACTCGCGAAAACAACCTGGGCACTAAAGCGTTGGCAGGCGCAGCAACTATGACTCACCGAAGCGGCGCATTTCTTGACATTTTCTTGCGCCGCCTTTTCCTGCTTGTTACCAATTCCACTCAAAAAATGTCTTTACAGCCAGTGGACAAATCGTCGCTTCTCGCTTCGTCGGCGTGACAGAACACCATGTCAACGCCGGTTGCATTACGAGAGTTGGTGAAGAAGATACTGAAATCGACGATCTGGACGTTATCATGGCAGGAGGGCGGTTTCGCGTTCATCTTGGTACTTTCCACTTTCTGTTTCCCTGTTTCATTCCCGGTCCTTACGTCGTACTATTTTGCAGCGAGCAGGGGTACTTCTGCTTTTTGGGCGGCATCCCTGGAATTGGAAACAGTCTCGGACCACGAGATGTGGCTCAAGTGTCCGGATGGTTTACGCTTCGGCGGATATGAAAATGGCCATAAGCAACTCTTTGTGCGGAAGGCGTACAGTGATCTCTGGCGTCTCATTAGTGGTATCTGCCGCCTCGATCAGCAATATCCACGTTGCCTTGTTACCGGAACACCGGGGATCGGAAAGAGCGTATTTCTCTATTTTCTGGCATATCGGATCCGGCAAAATGAACCGAACGCCGTCGTCATCCTGCAAACCGACCCCGAAACCTGTTTCCGAGTTGGAGCACGTCGCGTAGAAGAGGGATCCGCGCAGTCTTTCAAGAAAGACCTGCGCAAGGCGAAAACGTGGTACTTAGTCGACAGCTGCAAACCTACCGAAAACATGAGCGCGAGGACTGTTATGGTTAGCTCTTCCAACCATGAAATATCGCGCCGCTTCTTGAAAGACGGCGCGCACAGATTTTGGATGCCAGTTTGGTCCGAAACGGAAGTACGAACCGCTGCTGCGCAACCTGGCCGGTTGATGGCGTCCGACCTCACTCTGGAGACAGCTCTCAAACGGTTCTCCCAATGGGGCGGTTCAGCCCGGTTTGTTCTGGAAGGTCGCCCGGAACACGATGATCCATCAAACCTAGACGAAATGATCGGCAGAAGCGCTGACTTGCAGAAAGTCGTGGATTGTCTATACGAAAGCGGCAAGGGTCGGGAGGTATCCGATATGCTCGTCCACATGATTGTGGACACGGACGGGGAGTATGCATACCGGAACTATCACTATCGATTTGCCAGCGAATATATTTGTCAAAGAGTTACTAGCACTTTTGCAAGCCGGTCTCATGAGGCGGTGGAGAGTTTCATCAAAGCCGCAGAAGGCATTCCCGCGGTTGCTACGCTTCGACGACATCTTTTCGAAGGTTACGCTCACTTTCGGCTTCAGCAAGGAAAATAAAATCACCATCCCGGTCTTGGACGTCGTTACCATTCGTAGCAGCGGCGACGTACAACCCGAGACCTATTGCAAGCCTGTGCTTAACACCGCCGTGGACTCAATTTTCGTCGGCAGCGGTGCACACGCCGTCCTGTTCCAAATGACTACGGCGTCTCAGCACCCAATTCACGTTGCAGGATTGCAGAGACTCCAAACTCACGCAACCGGAATGTCCTTTTACTTTGTAGTACCGCCGAGCACGTTCAACTTGTTCACACAGACGCAGGCATTCCAACCGAACAGTAATGTACCGGCGTGGATGACGTCAATGCAGCAGTGGGGTTTGGAACTTCCCTTCAAAATATGAGCGGTAGACCACCGAGAAAGCAAAGCCAAGGACTGATGTTATTTCGGAAATCGGAACCGGCCGCTCTGCCGCTTTTTCCATTTCGATCAACATCGTCGTCGAGTCCGCATAGTC